CTGGGGGGAGCCGCAGGCCAGGCTGGCTGGCGCATGCCCTGCACCCGCGCAGGCGGCAGGTACGTACCGCCAGGCCTTGGCTGGGCCACGGGGTTCGCACCCCCCTGCAGCCTTCCCGCCCCCGCAGGCTGGGTGCCGGGCGCCAGAGCGCGAGCCGGAGTTGGCTGGGCCCAGGGTGCGGACGGGAGCCGTGTCCGTCGGCTAGACGAGGCAAGCGGGAGCCCCGTCGCTGCCCCGCTCTGTGCCTCGGTTTCTCCGCTCGTTAAATGGGGGTGACCATTCTGGCCCAGCTTTGCCAGGCACCTGGAAAGGCTGAAATGAAATGCAGCGGCTGGCGCAAAGGAGGGTTTTTTCTAGCTACCGTAAGCAGCCACCACAGGTACGGGTGAGGTGTCAGCTACTAAAGACAGGCCTGTAATTAAAGGCTGAACATGAGTCTAGCGGGAATGACAGTGTCACTTGAAAGCAGCGAGCTAGGACAGGGCATGCCTCCTGGAGGGACGTTCACTCGCACTCACTCCTCTGGACGCGTGCGCTGGCTGAGGGCTGCAAAGGGTTAATGTTTAATCCTGTCTGCTTGATGCCCTTTCTCTGCTGCCCTCCCTTCCCCCTATGGCAGCTGATTAGCTCCTGTCTGCAAGGACCCTGCCGTGGGGAAGGGAGCCAGCCCGGCCGGCTGTGGTTCTGACAGCTCCGGGGAGCATTTTGCTTTGGTCCCCAGCATGGCTGGGAGCCAGTCGGAGCCAGTGGGCGAAGGGAGCTTTGTGGCTCCAGGGTTGATGGTGGTTCGTTGTGTCTCCACGTGCTCCTGATGGAGATAAGCCAACCCTGGCTCCTTCCCTGCACTCGCCTTCGCCCAGCCGCAGCCCCGGGCACGCAGTGGATGAAACCCTGGGGTGGATCCTGCCTTGTAGCCGCAGTGCCCCTTGTGTGCTAAGGCATTTGTGGTTCTTGGGCATTCCCAGCAAAGTGCTGGTAGATTAAACCCTTCACCACATGGCTCTTGGCTCCCTGTCTAACCATCACCAGGCGGATTTGAGCCTGGGACCTCTGGAGCTTAGTATAGGAGCCCCTACCCTCGGAGCTAAAAGCCAGCTGGCTCCCAGCCTGTGCTGTAGAGGTCTCTTGGTCTTATCCGTTCCTGTGCATGGGACAGTGACCCACACTGGGTGTGTGGGTTACACCTGCCCTAGCCCACCTGGTTTGCTTTATGGCAACCTGTCCCAGCTGCAATGTTTGAGCCATGGCACGGCACAGATCCGGGCAATCAACGTGTGTGTGTTCATAGCTGACCTTTAAGATATCTCAAGGGTCTCCTCCCTGCCCCGAGTTAGGACCCTGAGGCTTTGTGACAGCTGTTTGCTGGATGAGCAGGTGATGGGTTTCACGCTTGGCCTGGAGCATTCTCCACTAGACTTACGGGAGGATTAGATCAGCAGGATGCTCCAGGACATCTCTAGGGCATGGCCAAGGTGAGGGCCCTTCCTTCTGGTAGTGGATCTGCTTAGAGTAACCCCCCTTCCGGAGGGAAGAGACAAGCAAGTGGCTGGTTTTCCTCGCTCTGGGGATCTCCGGTGACACTCTCAGAACTTGGGCTAGGAAGGTCTCTCCTGGGCACAGGCCTGGGCCTCTGGCAGGCCAGAATCTGGCCCCAGCCCTGGGATCTCCTCACCCTGCTGGGCCTCAACTTTGGCATCCACGCAATGAAGTGAGTGACACTTCCCCACTGGGCTGCAAGGCCGCTGTGCCCACAGAACACAGACGGGGCATTTGCTGTTTCATCCTATATTGGGCCCTCGCGGGTGCAGGCCCTGCCAAAGCCAGCACGTGACTAAGGCGTGAGGCTGAGCAGTGACAGAGCGGGCTGGGATGTGCATGCGTCTTGCTGGACACGTTTTCTACCACGTTTGGCTTTATTTCCACTTGAGAGAATCGATCCTGGGGGCTCTCGTCATGGCCGCTTGCTTCTTCACAGCGTGGACACCCCAAGCCCAGCTCTCCTGCCCTGTGCCTCCCTGACGCCCCCGGAGACTTGCCCGGGAAAGGGCTGAAGGGTTCATTGTGCACTCACTGGGCTTGGTGGCAAAGCACCCAAGGGCTTCGCTAGCTGCAGAATCTCTTCAGGAGCACAGGCCCAGTCAAGCCCTGGGGTGAGAGGAGGCAGACGTGGGTCACCTTGGAGCCTGAGACAGAGGTCCCAAGATGTGGCTTCGATAAGCAAGCTCTTTGGGCCCAGTTTGGGCTGAGGCTCTGGCCTTGGCCTCCATTTTCTCCTGCTTTTCCCACTGAGACCCAAAAGCTGGTTCCAAGAAGCAAAATCCATTCTGCTGGAAGCCCCGGGCCCAGCCCCATTCTCCCTCCCTGGCCTCCCAGACGGCGAGATCGCCTGGGATGTGATCGGAGTTCGGTGAGCCCGGGCCGGGTGTTCCCTGTGGAGCTCTGCCTCTGGAATTCATGTCCTTGCTGGCTGGGCTGTGCCCGGGTTGGTTGGCCTTCGGGCGTGTGTGGGGCATGTCCACTCCAGAGCCTCCCCAGCCCGGCTGATAGATGAGGAAGCTGGACTGCGCGTGTCAGCTTATTGCAAGAGAGCAGCATGGTGAGAGGAGCTGGCCGGGGCTGAGAGAGTGAGTGGGAAGGCATTTGCCCATGGTCGTGGATGGGATTAGATCTGGTCCCACAGCTAATGCCCTAGCTTTAGACCACTCTGCAGGGAGAATGTTCCGCAGCTAACAACAATCCAGGAAGGGTTTCATTAGCTAAATGCTAATGAAAATCTTTGGTTCTAGTGTAAAAATACAAAGCAGGAAAAGACCCAGAGGAGCGGAGGAAGGGACTGCTGGGTCTAGTTCGGGGGGGGGGAGCTGGCAAAGGAAGGAAGCAACACCAAAAGGGTGGCTATGTCTAGACTATGGGGATTTTCCAGGATACAGGAGGTATCCTGGAAAAACTCTGCTGTCTAGGGAATTTGTTCTTCCGCTTTTTTTGTGGAAGAGCTGACGTGCTCTTTCGGAAGCCCTGTCTTCCTCCTCCCACGAGGAAGAAAGGCTCTTCCAAAAGAGGGTTTGTTTTCTCCAAACAAATTTTGGCCCAATGTAGACAGGCCAAATTTCAGAAAAGCTTCTTCTGAAAAAAACTATCAGAAAAAGGTACATAAATTGTGGAGCGCAATGTGCGTTCCTTTTTCTGATCAAGCCCCATAGTGTAGACGTAGCCAGTGACACAATTTTTTCCCTCATGGTATGTTTGAGTAGCATTCAAAAGGCAGACGGGCCCGAGCCTGCGAGGAACTCTGTACCCTCTGCTCCTATTGACTTGGGAGATGAAAGGACATTCGGCACGGTGCCCATGCAGCAAATACTGGAACGGGCCATGTGTGGCTGATCGTACTATCCGGCTTTTTTTAGATCCCAGAGTGTGCGTTCGTGTCCTGGAATTCCGCAGTCAGGGTGTACCTGGAAAGACTGAGAGATTTTGCTGTCTCTGTGTCTGATCTTTGCCATTGTTCCTTTAAGGCCTCAACATTTTCTGAAGCTCTAATGAGGTTTTACCATGATCTGAGTCTTTTTTTCTGTTGCTTCTAAAGTGTCTTCTCTGAGAGGCAACAATGAAAGGGAGAGAACTTTGTTGAGACAGCTTTGATAAAACCCAAGAGCAAAATTCAATAGCTAAGGCTTGGAAAGCTGGCCTTTGTGCCTGCTGATGAATACAACCTGTAGCACTCAAGCCGTGATAATACAAAGCTCTTATCTAGCACTTTTCAGCCCCAGAGCGTAAAGCACCTTAAGAGCAGGTCAGCATCATTATAGATGGGGAAACTGAGGCACAGCACAGCAACGTGACTGACCCAAGATCATCCAGCGGAACAGTGGCAGAGCCAGGCATAGAAGGCAGGCCTCCTGAATCCTCATCCAGGGCCCGCTGGTTTCCCCTGAGTCCCTAGTGTGGAAATTGGGAACCTCTCGTCTTCCAGAAACAAGGTGCTGCAGCTCAGAAGAAAAAACCTTGGCTGGTTCAAGGGACTGAAAGTCACATGGAAAAGTTCTGTAGCACATTTACAGCAATAGGTCTGTAGAAGTCTAATACAAGTGATAGAAATTGTTCTAGGAGGCCTACACAATTTGATAGACGATGAGATTCTGCCTAAAGCCATTCAATAGAATTCTAGAGCTGGGACTGAATTCTCTAGCATGGGCCAAAAAACAAAGTGATACAAAAAGGGGTTATTGTCAATTAAACATCTGTGGGCCAGATCAGCTGAGATCCGCTTTTTCAATCATTTCATTGTGCCATGCTAGAAAATTCTATCCCTGCTCTAGGATTTTAAGCCATCATACAGAATTCTATAGACCAGATGCATTACCTAGCTCTATAGATGCTCTGTCAGGAATGCAGTGACTCTGTGTAGTTAACTAGTAAATCAGAGGGGTTGTCGATTCACCTCTAAATTACCTGGAGCCTGGATAAAAATAGAAAAGCGTAAAATAAAATAACAAGGTGTCCTGTGGCTACTTATAGACCAGAGGTGGAGAGCCAGAGGCCAAATGCAGTCCCAGCTTGCTTGGATCCGGCCCCCAGGGTTGCCTCCCCGCCTCCCCCAGCATTGGGGAGCCTGTGCTCATGCTACTTCCCCCCCTGCCCAGCTGATTTTTCTTTGGGTTAGCTGCCCCTGACCCAAAAAAGGTTTCCCACCCTTGTTCTAGACGGTGCATCTTCACTGCACCCATAGCTCAAAATAAGCTGTGCAATTTGATCTACGCAAATTGCATAGCTTATTTCGAGTCCATTTCAAAACAGCTTATTTCGTAATTTGGTGCTGTCTACACCGCGTCAAATATAGAAATAATAAGCAATTTGGGAATGTCCCTTACTCCTTGTGGGACGTTGGAATAGCGAACCTGTTATATTTTGAAATAATGGGCTTGCTGTTAAGACACGGGATAGCTATTTTGGGATACCTGAGGTATCCCGAAATAGCGCCGCAGTGTAGGCATAGCCTAACAGATTTATTTGGGAATAAGGCTTTGTGGGTAATAACCATCTCGTCAGATGCATGAAGTAG